TTGAACCCAGTTTGGAATTGTAGATTGTAACATGTCGGATCTTTGTTTTTTTGATCGCATGTTGAAGATTGTAACTGCCTTTCTCTTGTTGGAATTTAAGTCAGCTTCTTCATTTGCCTTTGGATTTTCTGCTTTTTCAGGCGTAAGTTTGATGTCAGGATGATGATTCTTCAGGTGTGACGTGAGTCCACTTAATCCTTGTTTTTTTGAGTCGTCAGATCCTCTTGAAACTTTGCTGTTGCAGATTTTGCACTGAACCATTCTTGGATTGTTTGCTTCAATTATGAAGTACTTCCACACTAAACTTGTTTTTCGGTTTGAGCTCATTTTATTAGAATGAAATCGAAGAACTTAATCAGATGAGTTTTTTAATGTTGCTAGTTTGAGTCAAGAACAAGGATTTAAAATATAATTAACAAGTTCTTTGTTAATTATATTAATTATTAATTATATTAATTTGTATTAATATTGTTGTTAACTTAACAATATATATATATATATATATATATATATATATATATATATATATATATATATATATATATATATATATATATATATATATTTAAGAAAAATTTCTTACGTTACATTAAAAAGTTCGTTAAAAAGACAATTAACAATTTAAACGAGAAAACATTAAAAAAGTTATAACGACAAGAAAACATTATTGTTTTAATGTTTTAACGACGAGAAAACATTAAAACAACTTGCTTTAAAAAAATGAATGAAACCAATAAAAACTTTTTTAATTTATTTCAAACAAATTCCACGTGATAATTTAAAAAAAAATCACCAAGTTCGTAAAGATTTTACCGTTACCAATTCCATGCGATAATTAAAATAAATAAATAATCAAGTCCATAAACATATGACTCTACAATGTAGATAACATTGTAGCGTCATTAAATTTGTAGATCGTGATATTTTAAACATGATAATTAAAAACCAGATAAAAGTAACAACGCGATCGGACGCAAAAAATAATATAAGAAGTTGAAATAACTAGCAAAAAAATTATTTAAATTTTTTTAATCAAAATATATTTACGCTACAATGCTAAATAATTTATTTAAAATAAAGTTTTATAATATCTATTTTCGGTAGCATTTAGAACCGAAATTCCGGCCGAAACCGAAATCTCAAATCTAGCCGGAACCGAAACAGGAATTTCGATTCCGGCCAAATTTATGACCGGAACCGGAACCGAACCGAATTTCGGTCGATCACTACTAATTAATACTGTTAGTTTATGAAAGTAATTGTTAATAAATACTTTTTTTCAACGGAAAAACAAAAAATTGTCATAGCGTAAAAATAACCAGAGAAGTTAGAAAATAGTTCCCATTGTTTAAATAAAAATAATTAAGAATCAGAATATATAATACTGCGCTCTCTTGTGCTAAAACAAAAGACCGTATATAAAATGTTCTATATAATGTAAAATACTCGTATGAAAATCATGAGATTGGTAAGTAAAGCTTTAATATTTGTTTTAATTTAAATAATTAAAGAAATATAAGTAAGATATATAAATCTAAAAATTATTAAGATATCTGTAAAAAATAAGTTGCTCCTATAAAATAAAAATAATTATTGTTTTTACTTTTTACAAAATTTTTTTTGCGATGTTTAGAAAAATAATACCAATAAATTTGTTTTGCTGTATGTTAAAAAAATACTACAGTAGAAAAACGCAACTTAGTTTAATTACACTTTTCTTTTGTTAAAAGTCTATCGTGACATCAAATACTAAAACTTTTATGAATTAAACGCGCTTCAAAGGAATTGCCAAAGTCTGTAGATTGCGACGCATAATTTGAAGAATCCGAGTAGTTGAAAAAAATGGAGAAGACGAGCTTCGGCAAAAACAACAACATTTGTTTTTCACGGTATGCATTCATTATTTATTTTTAATCAAAAAAATTTGGTTCAAACCTTTTTTTTTAACATCTTTAATATGAACACAACATGTGTTGGGAGTTTGGGATTCCTTTAAGTAGATTTGACCATATTTTTATTTCTGTTTTAAAAAAGACCACTTTCCAATTCTTTGTAGTAACTATAGTTTAATTATTCAGGACAACTTCTAAAAAAAAAAAAAAAATCAAGCTACATTGGCATTTTTGTGATTGGACTCGCCCCAGTAAAATTGTGGTAAACGTTCAAATTTTAAGTGTTATGCTTGTTTTTAAACATTTTAAGTTGTTTCATTAAATTCATTGGCCCAAAATATGTAAAGGTACAAGTTTTTAACTTTCCAACACACATATAACAGAAACTAGGACCAAAACCATTTTTGAAAATGGCAGATTTTTGTTGGTTGGAGGCAAACTTAAAATAGCTATATCTTAGGAACCGATTGAAATTAGACGATAAAATTTTCAGGATGTTCATAATTTACTAAAATCTTTAAGTAGTTTAAAATCAGCAAAATCTGAGACTTAGGATTGCATGCCCTGGATGTTTACACATGGAATCTCCCCTATGTGTTATTCTAAGTTGACACTTTCCATGTCGGTTTTATTTATTAAAAAGTTTTGATGTTCTTTGCCTATGTAGCATTGAGTACATCTATTTAATACCTAAAATAAATAGCAAAAAAACTGATACTAGTGACTCCAACTTGATATTAGATAGTAACTCTTAGCCAGGCCTTGCGATAAAGCGTCGGGCGATGTGAATTTTACGTTGTCCAAGAGCGATTTTGCGTGTAGCTTGGGCTATTTGCGTTGAGCAAAAAATTTTTTGTTCGAGTATATTTAAAGATATTTTTGAGCGGAATTTGAATGAAGTAATTTACGATTATTTTAACATTTAATAAAGTATTTTAAAAACCGCACGCAGTTGATATAAAAGTTTGAATTACAAAAAAATTAAACATGCTCATTATTTACAAGTAGAAAAAAATCAGATTAAAAAAAAGTTTAAATCTTTTTAAGCTAGCATTTTAATAAAATTAATCAGCAATAGCAATGTTGTCGATAAAATTGAACAAAAATACTTTCTTTTAGTTTCAGATTTTTAACTTAAATAATTATTTTACGGGGGTTTGTTAGGTTTTAAAATTATTCCATAGATTTAAAAATATTTGTTAACTGTTAGACGAATTTAAAGTATTTAAGAGTAATTTCGAGGAAACATTTTAAAATTTGGTAAGCGCAAATAAAAAAAATAAAAGGATTAATATTAAAACGTATTCTACTTGATTCAATAAAAAAGTACAGTTATTAAAACTTTTGTAAAAAGTAACTCGAAAAAAACTTAAATAACAACAATCGCTTTTTTGTTAAAATTTACCGAAACTCAACGAAGCGTGCTCAAGAACAGCTGCTGAAAAATAGAACGTCAATAGTTTTTCGAATAATTTTTAATAATAATTTTTAAGAATATTTTTTTTGCTGAAATATTTCTTTTATACCTAAAAGATTTTTATTCTAACATTTTATTTTATTTTATTTTACCAAAAATAAAATTCCTTGTAAACATTAAAAATCTATTCAAAACGTTCGTTAAAGTTTTTTAATAATACGAGTGATTGTGCTTATCAACCGCTTTATGAAAATAAATAAATAAAAATAAATAAATAAATATTATATAAAATCGCTAGTAAAAATATTAGCTATTGCATAGTTTTTAATCGTACAATAATAAAATTTCCAGTTTATTACTCTCTGACTTTTTAAAAAGAAAAAATAATTATTTGAAAAACTTTAAATTACATATTTAAGAAAAAAAAAATCAAATATTAGCATATTTTATAATCTTTTTTAAATTTAAGTTATAATGTTTTTTATTTGTTTAGTATAGACAAAACGTGACAAACGTCGAGAAAATAAACAAATGTTTTTACATTTTAAAAAACGAAACATTCCAAAACATTTTTAAATAATAACATTTCTACATAAACGATTTAAAGTAGTTTTGCGGTAATTAAATAAATTGGTGCAGTTAATGTCGATAAATATGAAAAGCAAATAAAAAGAATTTAATGACGTCAAAAATCACGTCGTACTTATGCGTCGCGCAGTTTTTATTCATTTCAAGGCCTGCTTAGCTAATACACAATTCTCTGATTTGAGTTTAAGCGCTGCGCACACATGTTAAATGACATGCGCAAACCTAGCGGAGGTAAGCAAACATTTATTTTTATAATTTGACTTGAGTTACTGCGAGAAGGTCATAAAAGAAATATAAATGTCTACTCATTGTGCTGTTAAAGATTGTAAAAATGGTTAATATAGACTTATTAAATGGAGACAGGAAATTTGCAAAGTTCATGGGACAAGAAGAGAAGAAGAAAACTGTAATTGCATAGAACCTTTTAGGTATAGATTAACTAGACTACTTCTTTCATAATAATAGTGTTATATAACACTATAATTATAGTGTATTATAATAGTATTATATAGTGTATTATATAGTGTATTATATAGTGTTATATAGAATAATGCATAATAACAATGTTATAATACACTATAATTATAGTGTATTATAATAGAATTATAATACACTATAATTATAGTGTATTATAACACTGTTATTATGCATTATTCTATATAACACTATGTAGTGTATTATAACACTATTAATACTAATAATTTACACAACATCCATATAATATGTACATAATACTCTATAATTATAGTGTTATATAACACTATTATTATGAAAGAAGTAGTCTAGTTGATCTATACCTAAAAGGTTCTATGCAATTACAGTTTTCTTCTCTTCTTGTCCCGTGAACTTTGAAAATTTTCTGTCTCCATTAATAAGTCTATATTGACCATTTTTACAATCTTTAACAGCACAATGAGTAGAAATTTATATTTCTTTTATGACCTTCTCGCAGTAACTCAAGTCAAATTATAAAAATAAATGTTTGTTTACCTCCGCTCAGTTTGCGCATGTCATTTAACATGCGTGCGCAGCGCTTAAACTCAAATCAGAGAATCGTGTATTTTGTAATTATAATTTTTATTATGAACAAATATTTTTTTTAGACTCCAGCTGATCGTGTATTAATTTATCTTACATTGTATGTTACAGAATGTCTCAAGAAGTTACAAAAGGTATTTGTGTTACAAATAAAAAACAGTTAACATATTATATTTATACTAGAAATGAGGACCTGTAAAACAAGTTATAGTTGGTCTACTTTTGCATTTGTTTTAACTTTGCAGTTAATAATCTAAATAGTAGTCTTGCATAACCTCAGCTATGAAGCTTATAAAATTAGTTATAACAGCTGGCATCACGAGAAGGTAAGCCAAGTACAGGTTGCCATTATCTAAATAATAATATGACAATTTAACTAAACCATGTATATGCTACCATGTGTATTCTATACAAGGGTTTAATACAAAGGCACAGTTATCAAAAAATAATATCAGTTTTTTTTAGATATTTATTTATTAGAATAAAAAGATTTAAAAGAATGATAATGAAAAACATGATTTTTACTTTTTAATTAGGTTTTTTAATAAGTAAACTGGTTAAATGTATGTATATATTACTTTTTATTGTACTTGTTGTTGAGCTATGTCAAATTCTTTTACTGTAACATTGCAATAGAATCCTTTCTCATCTTTTTGCATTCCTGTCCCATACAATCTACAGTTTTTTAATTCTTTTTTCTCACTCTTTAACTCTTTTGTTTTCTGTTAACTCTTAACCTAAATAGTAGTTAATTGCTGTTAAAATGTAATGTAAGTTCATTACATTAAAAAGTTGGATTTTCAAAATTGGATTTTCAAAATCAGTTGAATTTAATGACTTTGTCTATAAATATTATCTATATATATTAAAATTTATGATTTATGAAAAAAAGTTATTAAATTATTTGAGAAGTATGAGTTGTTTAACAAAACATGCGACCTAGTCTAGGAGTTTAATGAGGTGCAAATAATATTTACTTGTTTTTAAACAAGAATAAGAAAAAGTAGGCTGAATTTATTCAAACTACTGATTGATTATCGAAAATTATGTTATATAGTTTCAAAAAATTAGTTTTTTGATATAAAATTAATTAAAGCATTAAAAATGTAATAAATACGTCTATATATGTGACAAATATCATGGAAAAATTAAAAACTTAAAAAGATTTTCAGTTTTTTTTTTTTTATCATTAAACAAAAGTTGTAAATTAATTAATTAATTGTAAATATTCTAAATTAATTAATTTATTGTAAATTAATTAATTTATTGTAAATTAGTTAATTGCAAATATTGTTACTTAAAGTTAAAAATATTGATGCATTTTAAAATAACATAGATCATATTTTAAAATAATCATTTAACTGACATGTAATTGATGCACATCAAAATTAACAAACGTAACAAAGTTCACAAGTTTTAGTGGCAAAAGTTTGTTATTTGAGTTCAAAAATTTAATTGTTAAAAGAAAAGGTTATTGTTTACTTTTAAACATGCAAATTAATTAAGTAACAGAAAATATGAAAAATGACTATTGTCTATAAACTATATGTATTCTATATCTGTAGTTAAACTTAAATATGCGGTAGTGGTGTAGTGGTAAGAGCGCTTGCTTTGTAAGCGAGAGGTTCGGAGTTCGACTCCCACCATGTCCCTGGAAGTACCACCCTCAACTTAATTTCTCCTCGCAGCGGCCTTGCTTGTCAAGGTTCGTGTTTCGGAGTTAAAGAGTTGAGAGAGGATTGTACCACAATTGACAAAAAAAAAAAAAAAAACGGACCTTGGGGAGGTGAATAATTAAAAAAAAAAATGCCATTTACAGAATGCTTTAAAAACAAGTGCGCACAATTCAGAGACTTGCAGAATTTGCCAACATATATTGAGTTGGTAAGCAATCAATTGAGTTTTGATATGAACATTTCTTGGCATGCTTGGGTGAAAATAAAAAAATCAAACAGAACCATTGAAGACAATCTAAAGGGCTGGAAAAAAGGTCACTTGTTATTGCCTATTGAAGGTAATTTATGTTGAAGGTAATTTATTGTCTATTGAAGGTAATATATACACACAGATTTTATTTGGCGAAAATATCGATATGAGTGTTTCAAAAAAGAATTATTCTTTTATTCTAATGCTCTTTGCCAGGTTGGCTTTGCAGAGAATTGCACTATTTTGAACAGGATCAACCGCAGGCATCTTATTTCAGCCAATCTTATATCACAACTTTTACAGCAGCAATTTAGCACTGTGAAATTGATAAAAGTATGGCCTTTTGAAATAGATGTGAGCAAACATGACAAGTTTCTTTTTGCTCCGATTTTGGAAAAGATTGTTAAAACCTTTCCGGACACAGTAACGAATATAAGCCCAATATAATATAAATATAATATTTCGACAATGCTTACAGTCAATTCAAAAGCAAGTAATGCATTTCATCACACAACTGAAAGTCAAATTTTTAAAAAACTATATTAAATGAATCTCCTTAGCAAAAAAAAAACATGGAATTTTTTTCTGCTAAGGAGAAAGCCACATTGAAAAGCAAAGTAAGAAATTTAATTAATAATAGATCTGTGAAGAAAGTATGATTGAAATATAAAATAGTATAAAATATAAATATAATATATAATATAAACTAATATAAACCGTGGAATATAAAATAATATAATCTGTAAAGAATGTGAAAGAATTTTAGGATGCATGTAATTAAAAAACAAAAACTTTTTGAATCTACTTATATTGAGACCAAAAAAAAAGGTTTGAAAGAAATTTTTTAAAGGATGCAAAAATATCAAAAACATTTCTAAACATTACAACTTTGTTGATAATGCAGGCAAATTGGAAATAAACCAAAAGTAATTTTAAAACATAAATCTAGTAAAGTAATTTTAAAACAAGGTATTTTTTATTTTTTTTTGTAACTATTTATGTAATTTGAAGATTTTTTAAATATTCTTTGAACTAATAAAATTTACTTGAACTGCAAGTTTTTTTTCATATTAAAACTCATCAAATACATTAAATCAAATATATTACACAACTATATTTAAAATACTTTTAAAAAACTATATTAAATACATGACGCAACCAAATTTAAGTTAATTCATTGAGTTACAGACACAGTTTAAAGCCTAAAATACTTATATTTATTTATTACTTAAATTTATAACAGTTTGATTTTGATTTGTTTTAATAAAAAATTGTGAATGAATGAACAAAAAAAACAGTGTATTTTTAATGTCAAACACATGACATAGAAAATAATCTGATTTTGGTAGTTTTATGCACACACACGTATGAGTTTTTAATTTAAGTTGTTATAAGTACATGTGCAAGCCTTCTCAGGTATGGGGTGTGGTAGCATGCCTTATATGACCACGCATATAATATTTTGTTTTGACAACTTGGCTACATCTCTTTGCATGTTTTAGGTTAGCGTGTTGAAAAAATGAGCTGAATAAACAAGTGCAAACTTAATCTAAAATTTAAATTAAACAAACAATAAAATAGAAAGAGAATTAAAAGTTATTAAAAAAAAAAAAAAAAAAAAACTTTCAAAGTTATTTAATCCATTTAGTTATTTAATACTTTAAAACTTAATTAATTAAAAGTTAAAAACTTTGATATTATCTCATTTCTACAAAGCAAATAAAATATTAAAAAGAAATTATCTAATAGTAGGACATTTTTAACAAAATTGTTGTTTAAAAAGATTAACCAACATAATTTTATTTTGTTTTACAATAAAACAAAATAAAATTACAAAATTAAATACATTTCTTTTTTTTCTAAACATGTATGTATATATACACATATATACACATATGTGTGTGTGTGTGTGTGTGTGTGTGTGTGTGTGTGTGTGTGTGTGTGTGTGTGTGTGTGTGTCTATATATATATATATATATATATATATATATAAATATATATATATATATATAACTTTGAAAAAAAAATACTAACTGCATTAATATATAATGCAAAAACTCTTCAGGTCCGTTTGTACCCTAACATAAAAATAGGGTTAAACTATTAATGGAAATGCTTTTAAATTAAATTAATTTTAAACTTGTAATTAAGACACTTCCAAATTAAAAAATATATGTTTTATGCTTTTGTTTTTTCTGGTTTATCCGTTATTTATTTTATCATTCATTTTAGTTTATGGTTTGTTAATTTTTAATTTTATCTTTAAATTAATTTGGTTTTTTTAAAGCATTATTTAAAACACACAATTTTTTTAATGATTTAGATTTAAACCTTTTATTTAGGTTTCTCTTTTTAGTGTATTAGATTTTAAAAAATGTCCAAAAATGTGTATAAAGAATAAATGTTTATATGGTAATGGAAGACTTGCAGATGTTGCGTTTTTCTTTTACAACAATTTAATTGTTGGGTTTTGAAGAAAAGACAATTGTTAAGTGTAACAATACAGTGCTTTAATTAACACAAAAGGGGTTGTACTATTACAAAATTGCATCTTTTGTATATTAATTATATATTGCTATTTTTTTTAACATATTTATTTATATATTTAAATAATCTCATAATATTCTTGTTTAGCGAGGTTTAAAAAACTTATGTTACTCTTATAATTCACAGCTTAAATTATAAATTAAAGTTGCTTAAGTTGCTGATATAATGTAAAGTGCAAGTAATGTAATTAATACTATTATAATAATAATTTTAGTTTTTACATAACATGATACTTAAAAAAGTAAAAGTTAAAAATGCAAATATTACAATATTTAAACTACTTTTAACAGTTATAAAAAACTATTTAACGTTCATGCTGACGATAAAATACCTTTTATTTTTAAAGCGTATCAAATTGTTATTGTAAAAAGCTATATAAAATAACACTAAAACAATACTTTGAAGTTGATATTAAAAACTTTTGGTTATATAAAACAACTTCGCTGTTGTTTTATTACTGTTTTAATTTAATTACTAATTTTATACAGTTTATAACATTAAAAACATAAAATGCATTTAAAATAAAACAAAGAAAATGGATATAGTTATTTTAATTAATAAATTAGAATAGATGATAACATAATCATCGATACTTTAATATTTTACCAAAAACACGCTCTATAGACCTAATGATGAAGACAAAATCTACAAAAAAACAAACAAGTAAACTAAAAAAAAACTTAAAAAAATACTAAAAAATATTTAACAACTACCACATTCTTTTTAATTTATTGCTTCTTGATTTAGCATACTATTAAAAATTTAAGTATATTTTTCAAAGGGTTTTTAAGTTGATGTTTTCATTCAATTTTTTTGTTCAAATTGTTTTGCAATAAAATAAAGTGAGAGAGTTAATAAGTTGAATTATATTTCCTTAAGTCTAACTATAAAATTCCAATGTTTTTAGAGACTTTAGTGCATACATAAATATTATGTTGATTCCAAGTAATGTTCTCATCAAGATAAATACCTAACAATTTAATAACCAAAACCCTTTTTAATTCAATTTCATCTATAAAGATTTAAGGCAAGTTTGAGGGAATATTTTTTTTTGCTAAGCGAACTTGAACTTAACTTTGCTGATTGTTTTTCTCATTTTTCTTATTTTATTGAAATGAGAATTTTAAATATATTTGAACTCAACAATTTTAAAACTTTATGTTTAATTTATATATGGAAAAACAATCTATACACCCCTCCTCCCTCCCCCCAATTGTTAAAGATCTTTTTAATTTAAAACTTATCAACGAATATACTCTTAGAAATAGAATTTTTTTTTAACGGATCAAATTTCAAGTAATTGTCACACAAATAACATTCCTTTTTAAATTCTAGAGAATTGTTCAAAAAATATTTCCAGATATTTCCATATTGCAAAGAAACTTAAATATTGTTGAAAACTGGGTATGTTGCTACATACTCTGTATTTTTAAATTGAGCTACTACTGACAAGTTTAACTGTTCTACTTGTTGAGCTACTACTGACAAGTTTAACTGTTCTATGATACTCTACGCTTTTAAGCGCCAAACAAACAAAAACGTTACGTAAACCAAAACAGAAAGTAATTGATAAGTTAGATTTGATTGAAAAAAAAGCTAAACATAAATTATTTTAGGTTTGACTTGATATTTTATGTTTAGTTTTCATTATTATATTATTTTATGTTTAAAAATTATTTTTTTTCAGTTTTAAAAAGTTTAAAAATGTATTTTAGATTGCAACTAAAGAAGAAGCCAAAAAAGAAATGGCAACATTAGCTATTTTGAACTTCGATATTCCTGGTGATGCAAAGTTTCCATTAAATGCACTATATGGCAAGCCTCAGGATAAAAATGAAGCCGGTATTTTTCACTTAAAAGTTAAATATAAATAATCTTTTGAATTTTGTTGACTATTTTAATTTATAAAAAATTTATAAAGTATTTTTACTTATAAAGCTTGGTACAGTTTTTTTTTTCCCAACTCTTTTAGTGTTTATGACTTTGATAAAATGATATCTTATGATAAATGTCTACGTTTTGTTTTATGATTAAATAGTTTCAACTTATTTAATTGTTTCGTGTTATGTTAAATGCAACAAGCATTAATTACTAAAACACAAATATTATTCGACTTCACGTTGTATTTTAAATAAGAAACACTTTTTGGCCTAAAGTTTTTGAAGTTTAGGACATTTTGAATCATTATTGTTTATTTAGTTTTTCTTATAAAAAACCCATAATAAAACCCAGAGAAGTGTTCTAAGCTTTATAATTTTTTTAATGTATTTTGTGTTCTCTGAGAGTACGTTAAATTTTTTTTAGCCGGGCCATGTTTCTTGTTAGTTATTTTTTTATTGATTTTTATTTCCTCGTGTTTGTTTATTAAATACAGTATCAAGTTTTATGCAATTATACATAAATTTAACAAGTAAAAAAAAATCAGATTTTAGCCTTAGAACTTCTAAAAACTATAATTTATTTGTAGATCAAGTTCGTGCCTACTTTTTACAACTACGACAAGAACTTGGTCAAAGACTTATTGAGAAAGTTTATGATCCAGCAACAAATCGTCCTTCAAAGGTTTTTTAAAGTATTTTCTAAAAATAATTGTTTTTTGAATTTTATACAGAAAATATTATAATTTTAGATTACAAATTTATGTTAAGCTCTTGTAATTTTTTTATTCAAGTGGTGGATGTGTTTTGTTAAGCGAAGGTTTATGGATAAATCATTGTCAGGACCAGGAATGTAATGAAACAAAAGCGTAAGAAACGATGAAATTGTTACTAAAGGATGATGAAACACTGAAGGACTTCTTTTGTTTTAATTTCGTTTTATGCAGATGGCTCTAATTTCAGTTTGGTCTCGTGTTTTTACTAATATTTTTTTTTTTTTTTGTTAATATTATTTGTTTTATATAATAATTTTTTAGGGAGTCCGTAATTTTCGATATGCGAGATTAGTTTTCTCTCCTTTTTTTATTTGATAAATATTGAATATGAAAGTTTTTAAAATTTAAACTCTTACAAATATGTTGTAAAACACTTCGTCAACTTTTTTTATAATTTTTTTTAATAAACCAGTTATTAACTTATTTGAATGGTTCTCACAATGTTTTTTAAATAGAAAGCAGGTCTACCTAAGCCTCTTTTTTTTCAATAGTAGCGAGCTTCAAATTTGTAATTTTTTTGTTTCCTAGTCAAAAAGTTCTATATTATTTCGGAAAAAAAAATCAGTTTTCGCAACCGTTAAATTAAAACAAATTTTGGCAACTAAAAGTTTTTAGTTGCCAATTTTCTGATCGATTCTGATTTTAAGATCGACTTTTGAATTTCTGAGCTTGTATTTTCGTTCAGTTGAGCTATAAATTTTGTAACAAAAAATCTTGTATAATTGCAAACTCAGAATATCGTAAAGTTCTGGAAAATCTTTTAATGCTCTAGGGTTCTAGAAAATTTTAGAATTTTTTAAATGTTCTTGAATAATTAGTTAAAAAATTTAAAATATTTCAAAGTATATAAAATATGGTACCCACTTCGGAGTCTCGTATATCTGACTTAAGGAGCGTAAGTTCTCGAGAGTTTGAGCGTATTATATTAAAAAAACAACAGTATATAATAAGAAAAATAGGCACTAACTTTGCCATCGTTTGTAATTTACTTATAGTTGTTGACATCCGCGAAAATGAATTTTTTTTTTTGAATATTGTTTTGAGTATTTATCATTTAAAACCAGTAGACAAGCCGAGCCAAGTAGTTAACTTATACAGGTTTAAAAAGTATGAATGGTAGTTGAACTCTCAGTTTTTAAACTTATCAAAAAAACTTTTTTAAACTTACCAAAAGTATTTTGATAAAATAAAAAGAACAATAACGATATACTAATCAATAAGTTTAGGGTTCGTTATTAATTATAGCCAATGCTGTATATTATAGTAATTTTTTATATATTAAATTGAACATTTTTACACCTAAAAAAGCTGTTCATGAGCAGTTTCAGCTTTTAAATTTGTTCAAGGCAGCGTAATTTTGCGAAATTCTTGTGATTAACGCATCACTTTAGGGGCTAATTATATGAGGAATTTTGTCCTTTACCGAGACGAGATCTCGGTATAATGGCTAATCGTCCAGACACATTTTACAGCAATTACATGCGTTTTTACCAAGATCAATCTCTCAGCCAAGAGTGGTGTCTGAATATTAGAAAAACTCGTTTTAGCGAGACTTATTTTAGTTTTAGCGAGACTTACTTAGCGAAGATTATTACTTGTAAGTACAATATTTTCCTTTACGTAAATAAGAACTTTTTCAACTTGCTTATTAATTTGTCTCTTGGACAAAACTTTTTTAAAACCTGGAAAATAAAAGATAAATTATGCTATTTTAGCGCGCTATTAAATACGCGCGAATTCAATGCCACAGAATTCGCTTTCTCGACTGCTAGTCGATGCTAATTCAATGCCACAGAATTCGCTTTCTCGACTGCTAGTCGAAGTAGGCATCGGTGCACCCCTAGAAAATATCACTGATCCTCTTATGATCCTCCACTGATCCGGCTAACTGGTTTTTGTTTTATAACTATGGTCTTATATATATTGTAATATATATTTTAAATTATCTCGCATTTGTATTATGTGATTGTAGGGCACGTTGTCAGAGTCCTTCATATTTTATGGACCTGCGTGTCCTTTAGAACATGTATCACTGTTCTAATAAATTTTAATCTAATCTAATCTAATCTCTTCCCCCAATAATTACCGACTATCTACGAGTCCTCTATATAGGTTTATTTTACAGAATAGGAATTTGTTTGAGGAACGGAACAAAAATTGCACATAAACAAAACATAATTTATTCTTTATCTAAAATTTAATCAAATAACTTTTTATAAACTCTAATAAAGCAAGTACAAACAGAGTTTATATTGAAAAATATAGTTAATTGCGACAAATTGATACGTGTTAAACATCCCCTTTTAGTTGCGACGATATATTCTCCAAATTTATTTGTTCAACAACATTGACAATGTAATTTTACAATGTCATTGTAACATGTACTTCTATTTTTTTTTTAATGACATAGATAAGGCCTAAACCTAATTGATTTCTAATAAAAACATCAATTAATTTGAAAAAATAAAATTCACTGAAATACTGATACCACTAAATGTATATCTGCAAATACTTACTCTATCACTGATTGTTGTAACAAACTTTTGCAGCCCATATTGGCAGAAAGGTTTCTTACAACAACTAGGTTTTTCTTTTAAAATTCTTCTTTATTAAATGTATAGTATTCTAGATATAATCATATTAATCTAGGTATAAAATTGGTAGATGTGCAGAATTGCGTACCTTCTAAATTTGGTAACTACCAACAACAATGATACAACAACAACAGTATCAATATATTTACCAGTAAATATTATACAAAGGTGTTAAATAATTTAATACCGAATGAAAGGTTCATTCTCATATAGCATTGCTAAAATGAGGAGAGGGACTTTGTAAAGGATACAAGGTCATAAAGGACAAGGACAAGAAAGTAAACAAGTTTCAAAAAATAAATACAAATAAAATAATAAATGAAAACAAACCCAAACAAAAGCAAAAAATAAAATAGAATATATATACATATATGAATATAACAATATAACACTAATAGGAAACTATTGTCTCTAAGTAAATTTAAAAAGAATTTAAGTTTTTCTTTTAGACTTTATTCATTTAATTCATAATAATGAAGAGTATTTAGCTTACTTTGTAAGAAATTCCAGTCACTATTTGCAGAGTTTTTAAAGTAATGTTTACCATAAAATTTTGTATTAAAAGCTTGAACACCGAATCCACCTCTTTGAGACATCGTAGTAGATTAGGTATGAGCATGTATTAATGGAGTACACCAATCTGTAAAAATATAAGACATTTTATCATTAATGCAACTGTGAATAAAAAGACAGTTTTCAATTTTTATGTAGTTAGAAAAATTTATTAATTGGAGTTCCTTGAATGAATTTATTTTGAGGGAGTTATATGATAAAAAATTTATTATTCATATAGATTTTTTCGGAATAACAGAGAGGCATTTCTTTATGGAAGACCTTTGTCCCCAAGATAAATAACCATAAGTGAGGTGTGAACTAAATCAGGCAAAGTATATAGATTTTAATGTCTTTTTGTAAACAAGATGTCTATGTTTAGACAAAGCTGCGTTTGATCAATTTAATTTTATTGTTAAATGATTAACATGATCATTCCAGGTTAAACATTATTCAATCTTTATTCCTAGGTAGTTAACACATATTAGGGGGAAAAGTTTTTTACAGTTTATTTTAAATTGAAGAGGAGGATTTTTTAACCTTGGTTTAAAAATAATCAACTCAGTTTTACTTGTATTTAAATTTTGTTGGCATTTAACCAGTTACAGAGCTTTTCTAGATCATATTTGACATATTTTTTATTTTATTGATTGACTTATTAAAATAAAGCAGTTTTGTGTCATCAGTGAAGTGTTAGGCTTTACATAATTTTATAGCTTTGGATAAATTATTTATATAGATTAAAAAAAATAAAGGACCTAACAGACCCTTTAGGTACACCAACAGTGACATCACAAATATTAGAGTTCAATCCGTTGATAGACGAAAACTGTTTTCTATCTTTAAGGAAAAACGCGAACCAGGAATTCGAAACTCCTCTTATACCATAGTAAGCTACCAACATAAAATATGATTTTATGGCCATAACTATATATCAAAATATGATCTTATGGCATAAGATCATATTTTGATCATAAGTTGAAAAATATCACAAACTTTTATTGAAGAAGAATTTAAAAAGAAAAGCAATAATTGTTTTTGTTTTTTTGAAAACTTTTTAATTAAAACTAAACTTAAAAAAATTTAGACTGCAAAAAACTCCATATTCTTTGTCACTACTTGATAATTTATAAACAATGTTTATCTGATATTAAAAAGTAACAAATAAATAAATTCTTTTTTTAAGTTTGAGCTTTTTAAACAAATTGCGTCTAAAAATTGATGGTAGTTACCATATATAGGAGGTGCACAATTTACATATCTACCAATTTTATAGCTAGATTAATATGACCAATGCAAAGCACAACACATACTCTACTGAATGAATGCATTTAAGTCTAAACTTGAATTATATTAAATTTTATGTTATTCAAAAGATATATTTAGTGCAAAATGCATTCTGTAAAAAGAAAATTGCTGAATGTATACAATAAATTACATTTGAAAAGGACCTTAAAGTATCATGGGGATTTTGCATCAAGTAAAACTGGTAGGTTTGTTCAAGAAAAACCTTTTTTAGGAAACCAATACCTAGATGATCCATTATTGCAAAATTACCTGGCAAAATATTTACCTCCAGAGGTATATTTAATTTACTTGTGTTTTGTACATTAGTTTATATCATTTTTTCTATTCTTGTTTTTTCTTTTTATGTGTGCATAAAATGTAATTATGAAATGTTGGTGGGGATTTAAATGCATATATGGATACAAAATAATGAGGAAATTCTTTTTATATACAACTTTTATAATATTGTAATTTTTTAATATGAAACAAAAATTCTAAATATGATTGAAACAATGTTAAAAATGTATTGTCATGTAGTAGTTACATATTCACTAAAGTCAAACAAAAGTCAAAAATTGCTAAATTTATTTTCTTACAGCAGTTCTTTCTTGCATCTATGATCATGCACTTTTTGAAGATGATGTTGTTTTTAGTTTTTGTAATTAGAGATTTTTCAGTGTAATTAAAGAATTTTACAATCAATCAAAACAATTTCTGTGTTGTCATTTACAACAAAATATTCAGATGCTTGAAAAACAATATGGAGTTCTTTGTAGCAAAATCTTATATATTCAGACAGACTTCTCAATATTTATCTGTATCATCTTTGGAGGGTTATCTTGGCTTGGTTGTTCATGTTTGTAAAGGCTCCACCATGGTTTGTTTGAACTTTGTGTTTACTGCTGAATCAAAAAGTGTCAAAGCTATGAGTTCTTTACAAATTTACCACATATGACTAGTAAATTTATTTCTGGCTGCTTTGGAAATGGAAGAATTTTTTAACATATAGCAAAATTGATTTTTTAATAAATTTAACTCATTATAAAGTGCAGATACATCAAGGCTATACTTTGATGTAAAACCATGCTTTGATGTAAACACGCATGAAAAAAAAAATTGAATGCAATCCTAGTTTCTCATGTTAAGTTAAGTTAAATTGATCTCACAACAACTTGACATCTAAACAGAACTTAAAAGTATACAAAACTTTTATCATCCACCTGGTATGGTTCATGGCCCCAGGAGACATAACTTAACTACAAAAGCAGATATGACTTCAGGAAAAATAGTACCTGAATTTAGGAATTTGTGATAACCATCTTGAATCTGATTGTTTGCAGCATGAAAAAAATAAACACATTTTAGTTGTTCTGTGCAGCAACTTCTTGATTTCCAATTCTAGTTTTGTAGTTTGATTGATTTAAAAACTCCTAAAACAGTTAAAAATATTTAAAAATGGCAATGTTTAGATCAGAGGCGTCAACTGACATGCTTTCATTAAACACACTAGCCAAGATTTGTTCAAATATTTGAGGGCGTAATGTGAAATGAAGTAGGCCTTTTTGTATCAAAGCACATAAAATTTATACAGTCTACTACTCTCTATTCCTGCAGTAATTTGGTAACTGTATATGATTGTGCTTCTCCAATGCCTCCAGAATGTAGTTTGGCTACTCCAAGAAGTTGGCTAACTCCAACATTAGGCAATACAATGTTTAGATGCTTAACTAAATTTTTACCAATTTTATATATTTGAGTCATATATATATATATATATATATATATATATATATATATATATATATATATATATATATATATATATATATATATATATATATACAATAGAGCGCTCAATGTTCTAAGATATCTACAAATAGAACGTTGGATGTTCTTAAAGAACAGAGCAATAATAAATTAGTAAAAACACTTATCTAATTTTTTCTTCAACAACTTGTTATTGGCTTCCTGATAAAACCTACTGATGGTTAAACAAGTTGTGGAAGAAAAAAATAGATGAGTGTTTTTACTTACTAATAACTAATATATATATATATATATATATATATATATAATATATATATATATATTATATATATATATATATATATATATATATATATATATATATATATATATATATATATATATATATTTATATATATTACATAGTGGAAAATGGTAATTTCCCTGTTGCTATCATAAAAGTTTATTTAAAACTGTTAAGGAAATGGGGGGGGGGGGGCTAAATGCAGTGCCTGCCCCCCTCCCCATATATATAAATGTGTATATATATAAATGTATATATGTAGGGGAGGTAGGGGAGCATTGGGCAGTTGGGAGGTTTGGGCACCCCCTCATTTCTCACCATCTTTTCTAGATATATTTTGTTTTTTACCATAGCATTATAGTTTTATAATTGGCAACACTTTTCATCAAAAGTGTCAGCTGTCGTTTCACTTGGTTGTCAAGTTACATGCGCTTAACAGTTTGTTGCGTTCAAAAGTAAATATTTTGTTTATGATTTGAAGAAAGATAACAAAGAAATCTGCAAGAAATTGTAAGTATCTGTGTTAACTTCTTCTATTGTGTTTAATGAACATTATATTTACCTGACAATTAGGATTCAACATTTGATAAAAATAAACTTATTCAAATCTGTTTAAAAAGTGAGGTTATGGGGAGCATTAGGCACGCAGGTAGGAGGGAGGTTTGGGCATGCCCAATGCTCCCTCTTTTTTTAGTGTGTTTTTTAGTCATATGTTTGTGTTTTTTTGCTATGACTATTGGATTGAATGGTTAATCATTTCTTTTCAGGACAATGCTGTTTTTATTTAAAAAGAAAAATAAACAATGTGTAATCCCTAAAGATGTTATTTTGCGTGCATTGGAAGAGGTTTCTAAAGGAGGAAAAATTAAAACTACTGCGATTAAATTTGATATACCCAGGTCTAACCTTCAAAGATACATAAAACAGGGTGGCGCTGTGAAAAATACTTCTTGTAAATATATATCATCCCAAATATTCACAAAAGATGAAGAAGAAAAAGTTTCAGAATATTTTGTAACATTGTTTAAACTTAACCATGTCAAAACTGAAAGCACGCGAATTAGTATACGAAAAATGCCAATGCCATTAATAAAAAAATACCAGACAACTGGACAGAGAAAAAACTTGCATCGAAAGATTGGCTAAGGGGATTTTTTAAAAGACAACCTCAGCTTTCGATAAGGACCCCAGAAGCTACTAGTCTCTCACGTGCCACAAGTTTCAATAAGAAAAATGTTGGAGACTTTTTTGTAAATCTTAAAACTGTATATGAACGACATCATTTTGGCCCTGAGTCTATTTACAATATAGACGAAACTGGATTATCAACAGTACAACGAACCCAGAAAGTGATTGCTCTCAGAGGCACTAAGCAAGTTGGGCAAGTAACGTCAGCTGAAAGAGGGACACTTGTAACTGTTTGCTGCGGCCTTAATGCATTGGGTAACTCAATACCACCCTTTTTCATATTCCCACGAGTTATTTTCAAAACAGATATGTTAAATGATGCACCTGTTGGTTCAGATGGAGCAGCACATCCTTCAGGGTGGATGACAGCATCAAGGTTTTTAAAATATATACACCATTTTAAAAAATACGCAAAACCAACGCCTTCATCACCAGTTCTATTGCTGCTGGACAACCACGAGAGCCATATTTCTGTACCAGTTTTCGATTTTTGTATAGAATCAGGCATTGTTTTAATAACTTTCCCACCGCACTGCAGCCATAAACTGCAACCCCTAGACCTGACTGTCTATGGACCACTCAAAACTTATTATAACACTGCTGTAACAGATTGGATGGTGAGCAATCCTGGCAAAACGGTAACAATTTATGAAGTCCTAAAATTAGCAGCAAAGGCCATCCCACTTGCATTCAAGTTGCAAAATATTCAAACGGGATTTGAAAAATCTGACATTTGGCCATTCAATTCAAACATTTTCTCTGATGAAGATTTCGTTTGTTCTTCTATAACTGATTGCTACTTGCCGGGAGAGAATAATGTTGCTACAGAAAAATCGATTTCAGACCAACCTATCATGGAACAGCCTTCAACAGAAGAAAATCTGAGACTAGAAGATCGTACTAGTTCAAATGTGGAAGTCACTGGGCCATCTCAACTTGAATCTCTATCTAAAAGCCAGACTAGTGGCACTGTCAATGTAACACCTGATTTAGTAAGACCATATCCGAAAGCCGGCCCCAGGAAATTGGGTGGTATGAAACGGAAGAAAGGAAAAACTAGAATATTGACAGACACACCCGAGAAAAGACTTATAGAAAATGAAGAAAAAAAAAAACAAAGAAAAAATAAGATCAAAGAGCTCAACAAAAATCGAAAATGCTCTAAAAATGAGAAATACAGGAAGATTAGTAGTGATGATGAAATAAAAAATGTTTCCGATTCTGACAAAGCCTTTGTTGAAATCGATTCATCAAAAGAAGATTTTGATGTAGACGATGTAATTGTTCTGGATAGAAATTTCCAGGTTAATAACTTTGTGTTGGTTAAATTTGACACCAAAAAAACTGTTTATCATTATGTTGGAGTTGTCGAAGAGGTTAATCACTCCATGGCAACTGTCAAATTTTTGAGAGCGAGTAAGATAAGAAATACGTTTATGTTTCCTGACATCGAGGACGTAGCCAGTGTCCCCCTGGAGGATATAAAGACAAAATTGCCTACACCATCAACATGGATAAAACGTGGCAGCTTAAAATATGAATTTGACAAGCCTCTTTGGGTCATACCAAATTTAAGATAAGTCTTATTAGGTCCAACATTGTGGATTATTGATTCCAAGTAACATTGTTTAATCTTTTGTAAAGTCTATGATATGAAAAAATGTTTGTGTTACAATTTTTTATAGCAATGCTATATAACACTTAAGCATATGAGTATAGTAAAACAATATCGTTCATATTAAATACAGTGCCCAAACCTCCCCATAGGGGTGCCCAAACCTCCCAACCACGGGGAGGTTTGGGCACTTTGGACACGTGTTAGAAAACCTTTGGTAACTTTGCAACTAATTATAATACTAAAACTCTTCTTAGCAATAATTAATGCCAAATATGTGTGCTAGATATATTTGAAATAAAATTTTGATTATGATAAAAAATAACAGATTTATTAGCGTTTATGTAAAAAAGTGCCCAATGCTCCCCTATCTCCCCTATATATGTATATAAATATATATATATATATATATATATATATATATATATATATATATAATATATATATATATATATATATATATATATATATATATATATATATATATATATATATATATATATATATATATATATATATATAATCTTCAGGTGTTTAAATGGGTTGATAAAGATCTGAAGTTGTTTGGAGCAGCTGTAGCTGGGTATATATTGCATCATCATGAGAATGTTTGTTCTTTTGAACCTCAGTTAATTCAATATGATGCTTGGGGAAAGCGTGTAGACAAACTGGTTATGCATCCTTCTTGGAATGCACTTCATGATATCTGTGCAGAAGAGGGTCTAGTATCAATACCATATGTTTCTAAGTTGGATAAATGGGGGTAAGTATACTTCTTACTTTTTTTAGTATTCAACAAATATTAGTGTATATACTAGGGTTGTTCGCCGAAAAACAAAACTTGCGAAAATTTCGCATCTTTATCTACCGTAATAGAATTGTTATTGCGGAAGTTGCACATGCAAAAATGCACATTCCGTAACGCGCTATACGAAAATATAAATAAATAAAATTCCGTAATAAAGCATTGCGAAAAAAAACTTGCAAAACAAATCATTTCGTAAGAATACTTACGAAATAGTTTCTTACGGAAAAAGCATTCCGGAATGTGCAGTTACGAAAAAGACGTAAAAGATTTTATGTTACGATATATTTAAGATATTAACTGTTGACAGTTTAAATAATAAATAATAAAGTTATAAAAAAATATTGTCAAATGATTCTTCAAGGTTTATACAAATATACCTAATATATATATATATATATATATATATATATATATATATATATATATATATATATATATGTATATATATATATATATATGTATATATATATATACATATATATATACATATATATATATATATATATATATATATATATATATATATATATATATATATATATATATATAACATATATATATATATATACATATATAATATATATATATATATATATATATATATATATATATATATATATATATATATATATATATATATATATATATATATATATATATATATATATATATATATATATATATATATATATATATATATATATATATATATATATATATATATATATATATATGAAGGGTACAAGGGGAAAACCAGTGATGTCACATTTTAACATTTTTTGAGTTTATCTCAGCTATGTTAAAGATAAGTTTCTGCATCTTTACACAAATGGACATGAAAAAAAAAAAGTTAAATCACACCTAAATTTTTATGTGAAAAAAGGGGTTGCAAGGGGTAAACCAGAGATGTCCAAATTGTTCAAGGGGTAAACCGGAGATGTCCAAAACCCTTTGCGCAGAATAGGAATTTTGCTACTTTTCAGCCAATCGGATTTGTTTTCGCCAAAAACATAATACTCTTATATTTGCTGAAATGGCGGACAAATGTCAGTATCCTGATATATCAGAAATTCCAAAAAAGAAAAAAAAACATGGTCGAAAGTGGGAAAGAAATAGAAATGAACGAATATCATCACATGTTATTGGTTTTCTGTGTCATTGCAAACGGTATAAGTGTTTTGAAGAAACGACAGTTGAAGGAAGGGAGTTTTTACTGTTGTACTTTAATAAAATGCAAAATAAAGATCATCAAGACAGTTTTCTTGCTTCAATGATTAAGGTTTTAAGTATTAAACGAAGAAGACCTCGGAAAAAAGAAGAAAAAAGGTTTCTTCGTGATCATTCATTCTCTTATTATATCAAAGTGGCACGAGGTAATAATATCGTAAGAGTTCCAGTTTGTATCAATGCTATCTTATCAATATTTGGCATTGGAAAATCAAGAATAGAAAGAATAAGAGGATCTCTTGTTAAGACAGGTTAGTAAAAATAAATAAACATTATTAACATGCAGTATTAAGTACTAATTATTCATTTGAATAAATAATACACACACAAATTTATCTTTTATAAAAGAAAAGACTTTGTCTGAATTTAAGCCCCTATAAATTATGATAAAATTTGATTTAATCAAGTTAAAACATAGAAACATAATAAGCTTGTACATTTGACTTTTTTAAGGAGTTCCTCCTTTAAACCAGCAAGGAAAACATACAAATTGACCTCTTGCCTTTTCAGAGAATATTGTAAATAGTATCATTGATCATATCAAATCTTTTAAAGGACGCCAAAGTCATTATGCTTTGCATGAAACTAGAAAGTTGTATTTGCCAGAGGATCTTAATTTATCGAAAATGTATAATATGTACAAAGAGCGTTTCCCACAAAATAAAGTTTGTCGTGAAAGCTACAGATACTTTGATAACATTTATTTGCTTATTTATGAGTTTTATTTCATATTATCGAATTGTCTACTTTTCTTATCAGGAAAATATTTGCAGAAAAATTTAACATCAGCTTTGGTTATCCTCGTAAAGATACTTGCTCAACATGCGACAAGCTCAATATTATACTTGAAAATCAAGACACTGCTGCAGATCATCAGATCATCAAAGCTAGTCACGAAAAAGAACTTCATTTGCGAAAAGCAGAAATGTTTTATACCAGAAAGAGAGAAGCACGTAGTAATTTAAAAACTGGTCATGTAGCTCTTGCTTTTGACTTTGCGAAGAATATGAGTTGTCCTAATGTTTCTACAAATGATGTTTATTATCGTAGACAGCTCTCTATGTACACATTTAATATACACTGCTTAGGGTCAAATAGTGTTCACTTGTTTTGTTACGATGAAACTTATGGGCAAAAAGGAGCGGACAATGTAGCGAGTATGCTGGAGTACTATTTTGAAGACATTATACCAAAAGATGTATCTCATTTGCAGCTTTTTTGTGATTCCTGTGCTGGGCAAAATAAGAACTGGACTGTTATTCGTTTTTTGCACTTCAATGTTGTGAATAAAAAACGGTTTCACGAAATAAAGATATCTTTCCCAATAAGAGGCCACAGCTACATGGAGTGTGACCGAGATATGGTGTTAGTTAATCAGAAGGTTTGAGCAGAGCTACCAGTAAATTGGATGGAAGAATATCATACCTGTCGTGAGAAACCTTCGCCATTTAAAATTATCAAGATGGAACTGAAAATGTTCTTTAATTTTTCTGATCAATTGAAACAATTTTACAAAGTTAAATGTCCAATACCAACATGTCCTATACGTGAAATAATTTTCTATCAAGATTTTCCTACTGTGTTACAATACAGATTTAATTGGAATGGACCTTTTGAAAGAGTTGTCATAACAAAAGCTATAGGAAAAAAGAAGCAGTTATTGCGAAAACCCCTCACACGTTTGTACAACGAGAGATTGCCGATCAGCTGTGCCAAGTATGCGGACCTTCAAGTTCTAAAATATTTTTGCATGCCAGAGGCCCAGCAGTTTTTTAATGACCTGCCTTACAAAGGTCAGTTAAGTGATGATGAATTAGTATCAGAATTGTCTGAATATGAGTCAATTTAAATTACTGTAACAGTTAGTGATTAAAGGAAAAAGATAAATTTATTTTGAAGTCATACTAAATTTTGTTTTTACATAATATTTATTACTATATTATTTTAAACATAGTAGTATATTTTTAAAAATATATTAAAAAAGACTTGATTTTTCAACAGTAATCATTTTTGTATTATAAATCTTAAAATAAAATCGAATTCTTTTACACTCTTTAACGTACATTTTTTTTAAAAGCAAAATTGTGTTAGATAATTCATTATTTTAGACTAGGGGTGGAAAGTTGTTGAAATATGGATTAACCAAATAAATTTAATACATATTTTTTTTTAAACATAATATTACAGAAAAGCTTATACAACAACTTATAGGCGGTATGTGATAATAAATCCCTTTTGGAGTTTTTTTTTTTTTTTTTGCACCTTCTTGCTTTCCCTGACAGTGCTTATTATTTGAATTAAAAAAATTTTAAATTAAACATAACAGTCATGCATTTGAATGTATTATAAAAAAAATTGAACATTGCTTTGGTTTCTAAATTAAAAAAAATCCAATTGCAAGGGGATAACCAGTGATGTCCAAAAATGACACTGAATCCAAGATTCAATGCAGCATGTATAACTTACATTCACATTTCAAAATTTTATGCCAATATATCAAGTAATAGATCGTACTAATTTAAAAACTATACAAATATATATGGAGCTGGTCATAGCATGTAATATAAGTCTTCAAACCTTATTTTTCCGTTTTCTCAAAATGAAAAAAACGTGACATCACTGGTTTTCCCCTTGCACCCTTCATATATATATATATATATATATATATATATATATATATATATATATATATATATATATATATATATATATAATATATATATATATATATATATATATATATATATATATATATATATATATACATACATACATATATATACAATAAAATCCCGTTAAGTTGGACTCTCAATGAACAGATAAACAGTATGCCTTTATTTTTAAAAAGTATAAAGAGGATGTGTGATAAACAATTAAATACTTTATTATAAAGAACGAGAGATCTCTTTAAAGGTAAATGATATCAGAAAGAGTAAAAAGAGAAGAAATATATGTGAAACAGCGGGATGTGAACCTGGGTCTCCGCGGCCAAATGTCTTAACTGAATGAGCTATACGTTCATTCAACTAAGTGAATAGTAATATTTATTTATTATATAATTAAGAAACTATATAAAACAGAATTTAACAAAAAGAGATACATATGCAAATAGGATTCTATATATCAGGAAAATGAATAGTAATGTGAACCTTTAGTTGCTTATAATTAATATCTGGACTCGAAAACTAGTTACTTTTAATGGAACACAATAGGCTGTAGGAGCCTCAGGGAAATTATATTCAGAAATGATTATATTAGACTCAGAGTTAGCTTACATTTTACAATTATTACAAAGTGTTTAGGAAAGATGTCTAGTACAAAAAGCACAAGATTTAAAGCAAAATAATTTATATTATTTGAAAAAGTTGTTTTACATACATTTCATCATAATTTAAGTAAAACTTAGTAAAGCAAAGGAAACGTGTAGAATTAAGCACAATGAACTCAATCTTAAAAGAATAACTAACAGAAGAGAGGTTGTCACTATTATTAAGGTGACAAAAGATATGTAATATAGAACATGGAGGTCAAAAAATGCTATCTTAAGTAAAAAGAGTTTGATGAACAAAAGTTACAATGGCTGCGGGATGCGAACCCGGATCTCTGCGGCGAATTATCACGTATCTAACTGATTGAACTATACGATCTTATACTTAAATTTATATCTTATTAAAATTCAAAAACAATATTTTCTAAGATCTATACTTCGAAAAGCGTATTCAAACAGGACTCTACATACCTTTAAAATCTGCTAGAACTTTAGTAACGTGCACACTTTTAGAAATTATTGAAATAGATATATTTTATCAGAAATATGCTTAAGCTAAAGCATATTTTTGAGCCTCTTTTTACTATTTGCTTAAGCATATTTGAACCTGTTTCAAAAATTTCATATGCTTTAAAAAAAAAAACATGTATATTCCTACCCATCATTCTTATTTTTAATATACGTAATGAGTTCAAAAAACATCGTTATATATATTTATTATGGCACGTTTCGTAAGTTTATTTCCGTTAAGAATTCTTTCGTATGTTGTGATCCGAAATACTTTTGTTTCGAAAGAATTTTTTTTTTTATCAATATTTCTAAAAATAAAACCATAAAAATTTAATATGTTATTATACTGAAAATAAAAATTCATTATAAACATTTTGGGATTTAAAGATGTTAATTTTTACTATTAAAATCAGTCTAACAAACAAATTTTCTTTATAAACTTCAAAACGTCGTTTGGCGAAAATATTTGTTTCGCAAGTGCGACTTCCGAAACCGCTACTTTCGTATGTTGCAAAATAGTTTTGTTTCGTATGTCAACTTGCGAAATGCTAAATTTCGGAAGTGGCTTTTGCGAAATGAACATGGGCGATTTTAAATGTTTTGTAACATTTGGTATGAAAAAATGTAATTCCTCGTTCTCAATCTCCTTACGAAAGAATAATGTTTTTCCGGAATTGCACGAAATCCTCCGGTTAACAACCCTAGTATATACATATATATTGTTAATATTATAGAAAAAAAAATTCTCTTTTTTTAAAAAAAATTTTCAGTTAAATAATTTACAAAAAATTTCAGTAAAACAATGATATTTTAAATATATACTCACTGTTTATTCAATGTTATTTTTTTTGCAGCAAAATTATTTTGAACAATAAGTTTTTGAAATCTTTTTTAGTTAATACTTACCCGTAGTATTGATGATGATGGTGAATAGCTAATAGAATCAGTAGTAAGTTACCAGGGTCCTGGTCCCAGTTAAATATAAAGCTTTTTACAAAACCGGCTTGTTTTAAAATTAATTTATGGAAATACAAGTTAAAAAAGTTTATTAAAAAAAAACTTTAAAAATATGTACTTTTTATTTTTTGTTAAAAAATGATAATTTTTTAACTATAAAATTAATACTAGTAATCTTTATATAAAATGATTATTATCTTTGAAATTTTTATTAAATTTCACTTCTTTTGAGACCCAACATGATATATTTTTGAAGAACTTTTTTTGTCAAAATATTAGGGACCTGTTTGATGTTTAAAGGTCTTTAGCGACCCCTAAAATTTTTTTTTATTCAAAATTTTTTTTAATTTAGTGTTTGATTATTACATAGAACACATGTAGGGAGTGGCAGCAGACAATTTCAAAATAAGTTGTTTTTAGAGGTACTCTAATATATATACATATATATATATATATATATATATATATATATATATATATATATATATATATATATATATATATATATATATATATATATATATATAAATATATATATATATAAATATATATATATACATATATATATATATACATATATATATATATATATATATATATATATATATATATATATAAATATATATATAAATATATATATATATATATATATATATATATATATATATATATATATATATATATATATTATATATATATATATATATATATATATGTTAAAACATATAAGCTTGCTATTTATTCACATGCTAGCATACAATATCTTTATACAAACTTTAGCTGGGGAGAGTTGTTGAGGTTGAAACACCTAAGAAATAAATATTTTTTAAATGTAGGGTGTAAACTAGTCCTGTAGGGCCCTGTCAAACGTGGTATTTCCAAAAGCTCATCAAATTAAAATTCCTAATTTAAAAGTGAGAAAATCTCATTCTTCAAATAAAGTTTGCTAAATTAAAGTTTAATAATAATTCTAAAAATTATTGAAAATTAATTGTTATTAAAAACTAATAAAAAATAACAACAATTATAACACAGGTCAACAAAAAAAATTTTTTTTTCTGTTGCTGAGCAAACAATTAGTTTTTTTTATAGTATTTTTCATTTTGATTTCAAATATGCAACTCATTTTTCACCATCACGTCAAGTTGTAAAGATATTTGGGTTAAAATCTTTAGTATTTGGGGTAAAGTTGGTATTTTGTTTTATTTTTGGCGCTGCCCAATCAATGTATGCAGTGCAAGTGGATTAGAAGAAGAAAGAATATGAGAAAAGAACCCCACACATTTCTGGTATACATTTTAATCTCAGGGGAGGGAGGGTATATTTGGGAAATTTTTTGACTAATTCCCAATAGAGCACGATGATTATTTGATTATCAAATATTGCTGTACAAATAATCATTAAAGAATACTCGGTTAAGTTATTCATTAAAGAATATTTGTAAAAATGTTTAAATTATTCGTAGGATACAAATAAATTTGTAAACTTATATTCGTTTAATAAATAATAACCATTTAACAAATATATATTTGTCGAACAAATAAATGGGAACGAATATATATTGGTTTACTTTTATTTGTTAAAAGAATTAATATTTGTTCAACGAACATTATTTGTTTATAGAATATTATTTGTTAAGCGAATTTTATTTGTTAAACAAATATTATTTTTAAACAAATGTTATTTTTAAACGAATATAAAATAACCCAAATTTGTATTTTGCAAATATATTATTAAATTTTAATTTTTAACATTTGAAAATGTTAAACAAACATATCAATATTACGATTTATACTCTTCCAGTTAATTTCAGATTAACGTTATACCAGAGACGTTTAGCAGAAAAATACATTTAGATTTAAAAAAATAATAATACAATTTTAAATATAAAAGTACAAGTGCTAAAAAAACTGCAAATAAATTTAAGGCGGTACAATCATTAGCATTTTTTTAATAATTTTTTAAAACATTTAATCATTTAAATTATAAAAGAATCTTTTATATCTTAAATGATAAAATGTCTTTAAAATTTTTTAAAAGACGCGAATAATGATTATCTTTTAAAAAGTTTATTTTATTAAAATTTTAATTAAACATCATTTATGATTTAAAAACATAACTTTTTATGGCATAGTTTAAAAAAAGGTCAAAATAATTTTTCCGCTTT